GAGTAGGCCTGGGGTTCCTGGGGGGGGGGGGTTACGTTGGTAGCCTGAGCAGGCCTGCACTTGCGGCCTCGAGTAGCAGGGGGTTCGATGGTAGGGGCAGGGGCCAAAGAGGTAGGGGCAAGGGCCAAGGAGGTAGGAGGCAGTTGAGGCTCCAGAGGAGGAGAGGAGGCCATAGCCAGTACTCACAGTTCCTTGATCCAAAATGGCCGCCGGAAGATCTTCGCGCCAAAATTAACGGCCACTGAGGCTGCAGAGCCTATGGGCCGGATCCACGAGGTTGCCTAGGCCTCGCAATGCAAATGGGCTTTTTAGGCCCTGTGGAGAGGTCGAGGAGCCAGGAAACAAGCCACAGACCTTTAAAAGCTGATCAGAGCGACGATGGGAGGCAGCCTCGTTGTTATTTCAGAGGGAGGGAGGATCCGTTGCTGATATGAAACTCCCCAGGAGTTTGGAGGCTCTTCAGCGGCAATTAGCAGCAATTATCAGCAAGGCAGTGGCCTGGATTTCCCCTCTAAGGAGTTTGAAGTCTCCTGAGTATTTCAGCTGCTCTCGGTGAAGTTCAAAGCCGCAGAAGCCCGGAGGCTTTCACCCACCGGGAAGCCAGCAATTAGGCTTTAAAAGGCAAGCCTGCAATTTAGGCGCGATTAGCACTCTCTAGCCCTGAGGCTATTGAGAGATTTCTTTTAAAGGAGCCCAGACCAGAGAGACAATTTAGAAGGACCAATCTGTTGGTAATTTTGATAAATCCAATTAATTTTACCAATTTTTAAGAAATAGTTGAGGAGAAGCAATTAGCACAGCCAGTTCCTATCGAACTGAGTCTAGAAAAGCGGGGAGCATGCTCCTCAGAGGCGATGACATCACTTTGGTAGACTCAGTTCTATTGCTTACTGACTAAGTTAACCCATGCATGACCGCTGTCTGCACCAACTTAGGAGAATGAGGGAGGGTCTCAGGGAAGTCCTGTCTTAGCACTTGGCCACTACAGGTCCACCACCCCGACAAGTCCCATGCCACACCTACCATGGCCACGCCCACCCTGGGCATGCTCCAACTCGGCCCTCTGAAGTAAAACACAACCCTGATGTGGCTCTCAATGAAATTGAATTTGACAACCCTGCATTAAAGCATTTCACCTAATTTAGAGTAAGGTAGATTATCTTGACAGAAAGAATAGATCTCTTACCAAAGCAATGAGGTGATCATTGCTTAAGTTCAAAACAAGAAGGTATGTGTAAACATTTCATAACCTAACTGTAACCCCATCCCAATTAACATGCCTATAAGACAGAGAAAACATAATAAAATTTGGAAAATTATATTACTATAGTCCATCTTAATAAGAGTCATTTTAAACTTCTATGCAATTTATATTTTAGTATGTTCTACATTGTAGGGTTGACATCAAAATAGGCTAATTATAATACGATATAGATTATTGCTATAATGAAGAAAATAAATTGTTTTATGGAATTAGGAATATACATACTTGGGGTATGTATGTATGTATGTATGTATGTATGTATACATACATACATACATACATACATATATATGTTGTATTTGTGCTGATAAATAAATAAAGGGATGGTCTAATAAATAAAGGGATGGACAGAGAATGGAACTGGTGATCTTCCTACCATATTTGGGCATACCGGGGGTTGTAAATAAATAAATAAATAAATAAGTAAGTAAATAAGTAAATAAGTAAATAAGTAAATAAGTAAATATACACATACATACATACATACACACACACACACACATACATACACATACATACATATACACATACATATACACATACATATACATACATATACATATATACATACATACATACACATAAATACATACATATATATATATATATATATATATATATACACATACATACATACATACACACACACACACACACGTCCATACAGATGCATAAATACACACACAATAGAGCTTTTATCATTTTGTTGTGCTCATTACTGCAGTTTACAAAACCACTTACTTTGGACTAAAAGAAAGAAAAACCACAGTCTTCTGATAAGGTTGTAGTGTTCCTTCATTAGGAATGCAAGTAATCAGAGTTGAAACATCTGTTCCTTGATTGCAAGGATAATTTTTCAAAACAGCATTTGAACTCTGCTTAATATCTGTGCCCTATAGGAAAACATAATGTATTTACATGGATGTTTCATATATAAGGTTAATAAATTTACTGAAAAGATAAGTTATAAAAATGTGAAGAAAACTTGCCACTAAGTCTAAACCCACTAACCTTTCCTTTAAAACAGAGGTGTCAAACTCAAGGCCCAGGGGCCGATGTGGTCGGATCCAAGTGCACAGCCATTCTGGAAACTAAGGGGCTGGCCCACTTCACTTCAGCCTGGCCCATGCCATTTAGCGGGCACATGTGTGCCTGTTGGGATGGTTTGGCCCAGGCCTATGCGCACAGGAGGTGTTGGGCCAGTGTCACCTCCGCCCAGCCCAGCCCATCTCAGTGTGGCTGCCACCAGGTTTAAAATAAGTGCCGTGCCCCCCACCAACGTCTCCAGCCTTTCAGGAGTGAGTGAGTTTGTGTGTGTATGTGTCCTCGTGCACAGAGAGGGAGCTATCCGGCAGCAGGGGCTCCACAGCTGGTCCTCCAGGAAAAAGGTGTGGCAGTGGGGCACCAACACCTGTAGCATGCAGAGTCAGAGGGAGGCACATGATGTAGACCACCAGACGTGTCTGCTCCATCCCATGTGGCTGGAACGGGCAGGCAGCTGCCTGGCACATCCAGCAGGCCAGACCACTTGCTTCTCCCCTGCGCCTCTGTGGGCTGAGACAAGTTTAGGCAGGGGGTAGGGCCGCTGCTGCCCATCATTATCGACCCGCCTACTCTGTCCCATCTGTTTTTGCTTATGGTTGGAGAGCAGGTCGCTGCTGGTCATCTCCTCAGCCCCCTTGCCAGTCTTGCCCTTGGCTCCCACATGGAGTATGTTCCACTCATGCACCCAATGTAACTCAGCACTGCTGTGAGCCACTGCCACCACCAAGGCCGCCAGCAACTTGCACAGGTCCATTAGGCTGCTGCCACTGCTGCCCGAAGCACCAGGCCTACCCAGCATGAAGGAGGCAAAGCAGCCACCTAGAAAGTCCAAGTAGAGGTGATAGAGCATGCCCAGGCCCAGCAGGCAAAAAGTGGCCACCATTAGTAGGGAAAGCCAGATCTCCATCGGCACCATGGCTCCTCAAGCCCAGCCAGGATTATGTGCTTCCCTCCCATCTCTACTGGGCCTGGGCAGCCATGCTGGTGAAGTGCCGGTCTTGCACACCCAATGCATCTCAGCATCGCTGTGGGCCACTGATGCACTTGGATATATGAGAGAAACATGCTCCACGTGCAGGCCAAGGGCAAGACCCATGAGGGGGCCATGTAGGAGATGACCAGCAGAGACCTGCTCTCCAACTGCAAGCCAAAACTGACAGTGGGATGGAATAGACACATCCAGTGATCTGCATCACATTCCTCCCCGCGCCTCCGCCTGCTGCTGGCTGGCCCAGTGGTGGCAGCGGGCTCCAGAGCCACAACATGGACCAGCTGAGGGGCCAGCAGGCTGCGGCTATAGCCATAAACCACCACCACCCTGCACACAAAGGGCAGAGAGCACGCAGTGGCCCATGGTTTCCAGCTGTAGCTGCCCTGCCTGACTTGCCTCACCTCATTCTGAGGGAAGAGCCTCGTGCCCACCGTCCCACTCACTGGAGACCCCTGGATTATCTCCCCAATGCCGCCCAGCCCCCAGAGGCATCACCCACATGAGTGATGTCAACTGGCTACATCCCCAGGCCCCACCCAGTCAGCCATGATCACCCTGGCCATGCCCCTCCTCCACCACCACCCCACCCCCCATAGGACAACCACAATGCTGATCCAGCCCTCAATGAAATCAAATTTGACACCCCTGGCTTCAAAACATGACAAGCATAACAAAAAAAAAAAGTAATACATTTGAACAATTATTATTCATCAACAAATGTCCATTAATATGACAGGCATTTATATGTCCATGCACTTCAGAATTCCCAAAACTATTACAACATTCATCTGATGTATTCCTACAACTTTCACATGACACCTTAAGGGTAAATAATAAAGTCATATAATGTCAAAGCAATGGGTTGGTTTTAATTCCACTTTAACATATTGTTCCATGTTTTAACATTTCATTTATTTGTGAGAGAGGTCAGAAGTAAATTTGTGGACAATAGTAGAATGTAATTTAAACCTGCCTTTTGAAATGGCTTTTGAACATTTATACGAACTGTGTTTAAAAATACAACGCCCAAATCTGCCCTATAGTTTACTCTTACCTTTTCACATTATATTATCAAGTGCAAGAATCATAGGAACTCTCATTTATATACAAATAGTAGCCAAAATGTAAAACAGTAACAATCTTTATTTCTCCTTTGATAGCTTCTAAGTATGATAGAGAGGAAAGGGAATTCTTCTGAAAAAGAGATAGGTGTTTAAAAGCAGGACTAAAATCAAGAGTTTCCTTACCATCTCTCCACCAACAGCATTATCCATCAAGACTGCCACCCAATCCATAGGCTCTGGACTTTTATTGTGAAGAATAACTTCCTCTATCTTGGAGGTTCCAAAGTAAACATATCCAAAATTAACACACTGGATAGTATTTGAGTGAGGCACACCTAAAACCTCAAGAACTTGTTCCACAATATTGGCTTTGATCTTTATCACAGCAGTGGGCACTCCCTGCAACTCCACACTTTGGATAACAACAGATTAAAAAAGGAATTTTGGGCTTCAGGCAATCATAAATTAATAATGCTACATTAAATCATTTGGAATTTAAGATATAATTAACATATTTCATATATACACACACACCTGAAATTTATAACAGTTGCCTATTTGTAACATTCAATGTTTTGTATCAGAATACTAAGTGCTCTGAATATTACATATTAGAAGAATTTACTAATTCATCATTATCCCCAATTTGGAATAATAAAGGAAACACCAAATTTCAATAAAGGAAAGATTTTTTAAATAAGGCTTCAAATTAGATTTTACTGAGAATTGAAGTTTACCTTTGCATTCTATCTAAATAAAATTAAATAATCTGAGACTGATACCCAATGCACTGAGCTCTGTCATTTAATTTATTTAATCACATCCATCCATTCTTTAGATAGGAAATTGAGTGTATGTAATAAAAAAGATCTATCATTCGGTCAAATTGTTCTTATTACATACACACTTTGAATTGACAATATTTTTACTTATTTCACTGACCCAAATATTGTAGTCAAACATATCAAGGCAGTGAAAGAGCAAATAATACTACAGTAAATGTAAGAAGCATACAGCATATGCTTCCATTTATTTATATGTATCATAACATTTAATTCAAGAAGTAAATTAAAAGAGACAACATTGCAATTTAAATATACTACACTTACGTGGCTAGTTGATTAAGTATTTTGGGTACATCGGTACATATCTCTACTTTTATCAATTTCATTGTTTTTGGTTCTATCACGCCACTGATTGGTGCTATAATAATTGGAACACTTCCTCTATATTTTATGTGAAATGTACCTTAAAATATAAAAAAATATAATAAAAACAAAACCATTTTAGTTGATATATGATAAAAGGCTCACAATAACATTACCTTATGATTGTACCTTATGGCTGTACCTTATGATTTGTGATGAATGTATCTTTTCTTTTATGTACACTGAGAGCAGATGAACCAGACAATTTCCTTGTGTGTCAAATCACACATGGCCAATAAAGAATTCTATTCTATGCTATGCTATGCTATAAAAGGATCACAATAACAGCATGATAAGATACATCATCAAGATGCATCATCTCATCAAGATTCTGTCTTCCTCAGCTCTTTCTCAGTCATATTTGTATGATAATGTGGATGAATAATGTGAGTTGTTTCCTTTTATTGTTAACAATCATTATTGTTTTTGGAAAAGTCATAGTTCCAAGTTTATAAAAAGCGGTTTTGCTGCAGTTACAGTTAATGTATACTTATACATTCCTCTGAGGTAAAGCTAACAATAAATGTTAAATCCAAGCAATCATACAATCAAGCAGAACTGCAGACTCCTCTCATTGTACATACAACCATAGAAATGAAAGAATGTAAAATTTAACAATTATACAGTCATGGTTCCGAGTAATGCTCCCAATCAATTAATGACTCTAAGGTTGTGGCTTTTCTCAAAGATCCTGTTTATTGGGTACATCATATCGGCAAGTTCAAATGTGAAACCAACTCTGAACAATTCCCACACTTTGATATAATTAAAGAATAGACATTGTCCACCCCCCCTTGTGTCACAGGTCACGTTAACCAACCAAGCAGGTGATGAACTTCTCATCACTCCCTCCTGCAATTGCTAGATTCAGCTGACCTTCATTCTCATGTGTTTTATCGTTGTTATTTCTGGCACTGTAGAGGAAAACATTCTACATTCTTTACATCCCCCTCCCCCCATATGCAGAGGAACTTAGAAATGAAGCAAAGTATAGCTTCATCTAGAGTCGTTTCGAGAGTTGACTTATACATCAATCATTATACATTGCACTGGTTAGAATGCAGTATTGTAGGCAACATTGGTCCCTAGCCAGGAGTTTGATCCTGACCAATTCAAGATTGACTCAGCCTTCCATCCTTCCTTTTTTGTGGGTGTGTATATATTTTTTTATTTTTCATTTTCATTTTCGTACACTCACATGTATACACCATACAGTATTAAACAATAATTGCATCAATTC